AGGGGGCGGCGGCCCGGACGCGCCCGACTTGCTGTGGCGGAGCGGCGGGGCCGTCCCGCGCGTCGGGCCGCCGCTCGAGCTCGAGGAGGAGCGCTGCTGCCGGCTCTGCGACGGGCGGCGGTTGTCCTTGGCCGCCTGCGCCTTCTCGTCGAGGACCTGCTGCATCTTCTTGGCGGAGAGGGCGGAGAGCTCCGCCGCCTTTTGGGTGAGGTTGTCGCCCTCGGGCTGGTCGCCCGACGTCAGCGCCGCGCAGATGTGCCCGCGCTTGGGCTGCCCGCACCGGCGGCAGCGGTAGCCGTGCTCGGCGCCGTGCTTTGTGCGCAGGGTCTGCGCCTTCTCCATGCGGTTCCAGCGGTTGCGCACGCCGTTGTCGGTGCGGCCCGGCAGGTGGGCGGCGATCTTGGACCACTTCTTGCCGTGCGTCTCCACCAGCTTGAGGATGAGCAGGTCCTCCTCGACGGTCCACATGGGCACGTCCTTCCTGCCCTCGCGCTCGCTCGGCTCGAGCGAGCCCTCGCCGTCGTCCGAGTACTGTCTCCGCAGTGGCTCGGGCGCGCTGCGCCGCAGGCGGGTGTAGGGGCTGCCGCTGAGGTCGAAGAGCGCCGCATGGCTGCCCGCCGCGCCCTCCGACTCCTCTGGAGACTCCTCGTCGCCGCCCACATCGTCCTTGACCAGGTCGGCAAAGAGCGCGTCCTCCGCCGACGACCAGCGCGTCACCTTCTTGGCTGCGGGCGAGACGCCGGTCGGCGACGTCACGAGAAGGCACCGCTTCCCGTCGTCCCAGTGCACTGGGTCAGGCACATATGGCCTCATCATGGCGCCGCCGCGAGCGTGGGCCGCCGGCGCTTGCTGCTGCATGCCCTGAGAGGCGAGCGCGAAGGCCTCCACCTCGTACGTGCCGATCACCACGTTGTCGGACGGGCCGCCGTCCGCTAACACGATGCCGGTTGCCGACATGGCTGGAAAAAGGTGGACACTCAAGACACACGAAGCAAGCAAGGACCCTTGCTGCGTGCGTCGTCACCGGAAGAATTCTTCCTCCTCGGCTGCAGAGAGCACACAGCCGTCCTCCCATCCCTCCCTTGGGTTGTCTGTTTTCTTTCTTTCTAGCACACGGGCAGAAGACGGCATGGAGGGCGCCCGACAGGGTGCGGAAGGTGAAGGCAGCAAGGAAGGCGCCCACTTGCTACGGGGGGGGCAGGCAGGGAGGAGGACGGACACGGATGGGAGTACCTCTGCGAATGGGAAGGCGAGCAGAGCGACAGCTGGGTGTGGCATGATAAGATGGCGAGCGTAGGGTATGTCGGTGATTTGGCTAACACATGGGAGCGGGAGCTGATGCATGC